GCATTGAGTTTAAGGGCTGATCCACCCACATCGACATGAACTGGTAAATGGATCCAGCTTAGCTGAAGGCACTTGTACTAGATACAGCAAATGACAGGGAGGGCAGGATGAAGGTTTCCTCATCCTCTCCAAGAAAACTCGGACAGGTTCCCTCAAATCACCAAATTAAACTATTTAAAATCACCTGGATGAGCTTGTATAACTGCTCAGCCACAGTTGGCTCTTCAGAAAGAAGAGCTGGGGAAGGAGAAATTCCTCATCTGGCACAGCTGTTTGCAGCACATCTGGTGTAGCATGAGTGGGAGTGCTTTCCCTCAAGATCTACAGGGACTCAATGAGGCTAAAATGAGGAATCTAGGCACAAAGGAATCTATCTTTGCTCTGGCCCAAGTGCCACACCATGGAGCTGAGCTGAAGCCCACAAAACCCTGCGGGAATCATCCCCATGTTTTCAGACTGCACATCTAACACAACAAAACCCTCATCCTGGTGAGACAGCAGCCCAGCCCTTGTTCTTCCTCTCAATTACACGTGGCATTAGCTCTCACTACAGCAGTGAAATCCAATAAAATGTCTTTTAGCTGGTGGGAACACAATGTATCTGAAAGGTGCCAGGAGAGGAGGCAGGAGAATGTTTTGTTGTTGTTTTCTGGGTCAGAGCTGTTTTAGAAAAGCAGCAGTTACTCTTAACGTCAGGGAGGTCCACAAAGACACCATGCAGAGGCAGAGAAAGTGTCCACGCTGGGTGCAATGCTGAGTCTTGTGGTCTAGTTCTAGCTTCCCAGTAAATCCGTGCCTGGATAGAGTAATTCCATTTTAACTAGCTTATTTTAGGACTTATGCACTAAAATCACACTGTGTGGATTACCATTTTCTCTGCCAAATATCAACTGCCTGGGGCTTTCCATTGCTAGCATGCAGACCAAAGAGAAATAGGGAAACTGTGGGTCTCATATCAGTGATAAAAGAGGAAGCAGTGGTAATGTTGTTGGCATCTTTGGCAGTATTTCATCCAGAATTTCCCCTGAAGGCCCTAAATTCGGGAGCCTAGTTACTGTATTCTTCTTTTTTTAATATAACTTCTCAGCCATGCTGGAGTGCTCCAAGGCTTGTCTCCTGGAGGCTGAAATGCAGCAAGCCAAGTAACAAGAACCAGGGCTGAATGGGCTTTCATTTACGCAGTGATTCATGTGGCTCCAAGATTTGATCCTCTTCTAGACCACTCATTGATGTGTACCTGTTTCTTGCTCCATGAGTGTAGCGTGGCTTCAAAGAAATGACTGGGTGTTAATAGGAGGAAGTTAATGCCGTGTTTGGTACCTGGAGCTAGAATGAATCTTCATGAGTTTGTTTTGCAATATTTTTAAGCTTTTGAGAAGTACAGCGCAAGTTGGATTGTTCAGAGAAACGATTGTAGAAATGTCTTTTCCTTATTTCAGCCAGCAAGATCTCCAAAAAGCAAAGCAATGGTGTGAGGTGAGCCCTCTTATGAGTGTGCATCACTGTCTGCTGGATGCACTTGTAGGTACTGAGCCTTGGACCTTGTTTAAAGTCAATCAGGGAGTGTGTTTCCAAAAGCGAAGTCTGACTCTGGATGTACCAGCAGACACGAGGGCATTTCCCAATGCACTGCCCAGCAAATTCATCCCATGTCCCTTGCAAGATGGGACTGCACTTTTACTGGGCGATTTGCAGTCATTTTGCATAGTGCATCCCCACAAACACAGGGCAAGGACGCTCCTGTAAATTGTTTCCAGTGTGTACGTAGCAGAGACAAAACTTTGGCTGGGATAGCTCACTAGCTGCCAAAGCAAATATGAGATTGGATTGATTTTACCTCTCCGAGTTTCTCATGTTGTTGTACCAGGGTTGTCCTGGTAGCCCTGGGGACCTAATGCCATTAAGTTACTGAGATCTAGCACATGTCCATCACCAGCAACATGGGAGATCAGCACCAGCCGAACTCCAGGAAGCCTCCTGGGGTCCATCATCCCCTCCTGGTTATTGTCGCCGAGGTCCTTAGTACACAGTCCACCTTGCTGGCTCTCTCTCACGTTATTTGAGATGTTTGTGGCTGCCAGCTCTTCCTTGTTAGAGAAGTCATATGCTTACTCATGACCCAGCCTCTCAGAATCATCTGACCCCAAAAGCTGGTGCCTTTTTTTTTTCTTTTTGCCTTTTTTTTTCTTTTTTTGCAAGCCAAATCTCATCAAACAACCACAGCCAGGGCAGAACAGTGGGGATCATATCCCTACCCAGTGTATCCTTGGTGGAAACCAAGATCTGCATCATGTAACTCAGAAGCACCTGCAATACTTCACATCACCCCGGTCATCCTTGTGGGCCATATTCAGCCCATGTTGTTGTTCATGGGCCTCTCATTTTCCATTATAAATATTTTTGGTGAGTTTGTTTTTCATTCCTTGCAATTTTTAACAGATAACGCTGACATTCTGTTCAACAACAACTCTCCCCTCAGAAAAAAAAAAAGAAAAAAAAAAGAAAAGCCGCGTGTGAAACTTAGGAATAAAACAAAACCCGCTCTACTTGGCTTGGCACCGGACCACAGAGCCGTCTCCAGCAGACCGTTATCACGGCATGCCACTCTCTCAGTATGCTGCGGGCTCAACACCAAGCTTTATCCATGACAAACACTGTCGTCCTTCTTCGTGCTTGGCTGGCGGAAATGGGTTTAGCGCAAGTGCTGGGAGATGAGTAACTACACAAGATGGTCAAAGCAGAGGCCCCCAGGTTGTATGAGATAGGGGCTCACTCTGACTTTCATCCGGGACATGGAAGAGTAGCTCTCATCAGCAGACATGACCTTACGTTGCAGCAAGGACCAGGGAAATGATCTGGGGGAAAGATCCACAAATGTGACAACCTGGCTGTGCCTGAAGGTGTTGAGGAGTCCTGGGTGAACCACAAACATCAAGATATGTGGATTTGGTTAGAGGCCCTGAGGTTCTCCTGACTCAAATCCTGTTCAGTGCAGGGAAGGGAATGGGGAGATCATTTTACAACATCAGCTGGAGCTCTGAGAGCCTGCAGGATGCTCTTCCTTGCCCCAGGACAGAAACAACTGAGCTGGGTGACTGGGGCATGGTGTGTGGCCCCCGAATGTCCCCTTGTGGGTGCTGGACAGGAGCTCTGCTCCAATGCGCATGGCCCAGCTCCACTCAATGCAGCACAAGTAGATGTTTCAGACCAAGGTCCAGGCAGTTCATGAGGTCCTCGCAAGCTACCAAGCCAAGCCAGTACCTCACACTTTGCATCTGGAGACCCTCTTTGCCACAAATCCCTGTTTAGATCTTGAACTGATCCTAGGAAACACTTGCCTCTCTCCCCGCCTCCAAAAGCAACTTGCACAAATGACTTAGACCGGGGAACCAATTTTTTAAAAGCTACACTTGGATGAATCCCTCCCTTCCTCCCGTCACGAGAGCTGAGATCAGCCCTTTGTAAGGCCTTACAACAGGGATTTCCTTGGCCTGTGAATCCCTCCCCCAGGCATGGGGAGTCTGATGCTAGAGCAGAGCCAGCCACGAAAGCTTCCCAGCTGGGTAAACTCCAGCCTGCAGGATAGATATCCCTTAGACAGGCACTATTCTCCACACAGTGTGTAGGTTGTGACGTGCCGCTCTCAGTCTTTGTGACCACTCCTGTCTCCAGTACCGAGGAACTGTGGGCTGCCAGCTGCATGTGGGGATGCTTGAGCTAAGAGGATGGGGTGGCGCTCAGGGGCTCTTTCACCCAACTTGTGGTATCCACATAGTTGGCCTCAAGTCTCCTGTTGGGGCACTGAACCTCTGTGCCACCCTTCGTGGTGGCCTGTCTCAAACCCCCTTGTTGACTTAGCTGCTGGACCAACCCAGAGGTATCTCCAGAGCTTGCCTCGGGGACAACTTCACAACCTCAAAAGCCCCATTTGTTTCATGCTGCCGAAAGCTTCAGCTCAGGCCCCAGTTTCGTTCCTGCTCTCCCCCATCAGCAGCTGGTCCAAGGCGTTCTCCACAAACACATGTTTTCCTTCTTGGTGGAGGAGCGCTGAAGTGCAAAACAGCTCTCCACATGGTCGCACTCTTCCAGCTCCTTCCTCCGTGCAAAGCAGGTGTTCGCACAGGGGAGGAGAAGAGCAAGGGAGCAGAGGGGGCTTGCGAGTGACATTTATTTTCCAGCTTGCTTAAAACAGCATAAAACCCTGAGGCTGTTCTCAGGGGCAGCCCGGCAGGGGCGGTTTTGCCTGGTGAAGCCGGGCTGGAGGGCAGCCGGCCAGCAGTGCTCTTAAGAATCAATAACCTTTTCTTTGCTAAGGAATTTCCTACGTACAAGGGAACAGAAGATACTGGAAACAAATGAAGCCTGGATTCTCCACGGTCTTCCTGGCATTATTCCTGATATTTAAAAAAACAAAACAGTTTCCCATTGGCTTTTTTAGCCTTTCTATGCTGGCATTTAAACAGAGATGGGATTGACATGCCCTGTGTCTGTAAATGCTCATTATAATGCTCTCAGGGGTTCTCTGAAGGGCAGGATACCTAGGATGCTGCATCCAAAGAGCCTGGGTTCCTGTGAATCACTAGAACGCTTTTCAGTTATTGCCAGTAATTCCTTCTCACAAGTTATCTCATGTCAAGGAGCAAAGGGTGTTCAGGTCATGAGAGGTGCAGCAGAGCTTCACCATGGGAGCAAAGTCGCTCTAAGCTCCAGCCTCAGGACTAGCACTTCTTGAAATTGTATGAACCCTAGGCCCTAACAGTATTTTGGTACCTAACTCTCCTGGATAACCAGTGAGCTTTGAGTATCAAATTCCTAAGCGATCTGGGTCTGTGCACCTCTTGTTCTGAGGTACTAAACAGTGTCTTAGACCTTACTGGGCCAAAAGTTTTTGTGTTCATCTGCGCCATCATGGGTTTTATTGGTGTCTTGGCCCTGCATGATTTGAGCTATGAAACAATCCCTGGTGTTCATACTCTCACTCTTCTTGGTTTCAGGCATGGAAGAAACGCTGGTTTGTCCTGCGCAGTGGTCGGATGAGTGGTGATCCTGATGTCCTAGAATACTACAAAAATGATCACTCCAAGAAACCCTTGCGTGTGATCAACCTCAATTTCTGTGAACAAGTGGATGCAGGACTGACCTTCAACAAGAAGGAGCTGCAAGACAGCTATATCTTTGACATCAAGACGAGCGACAGGACCTTCTACCTGGTGGCTGAGACAGAGGACGACATGAACAAATGGGTTCGCAGCATCTGCCAGATCTGTGGTTTCAACCAGTCCGAGGAGAACACAGGTACAGTGAGACAGTAGGAGCTGTTTCCACAGTCTATGGCATTTCCCATGTTGTTCTTCCTTGGGGAGTCCAACTCTTCTATTAGATCAGACTTGAGGGAGGGGAGCTGCAACCTGGTGTGATGCTGGAGTAGTCTTTGGAAAGACTTGAGGAGGATTTCCTACCTTTGATACCCAAAAAGGGGGTAGTTGTTAACCCTGCAAGCCATCTGACTCATCTTCTTCTATATCTGTAGGCCTCTGAGTCTCTTAAAATTAGTTAGCTGAGACAGGGCCACCTTGAAGGGCCACCTAAGTTCCAGATGGAGTAGAATGGGACTGGGGGCAGGAGTGCAGTGCTGTGGTTAACTGCTGGTCCTTCTGCCACTGGCATCAGCTGTGGGATTCCTGGATCTATCTAGCTTCTAGACAGGGCTTTCCTGTTATAATAGTAATGAATGTTGGGTCTGAGGAGTTCAGCTGGCAAGCAGAGCTGTAAAACCAACTAAATGGAAGAGTAGGCATGGTTCCCTTCACAATTGATAGTGCTTGGCTTCTGCTGTCTGATGATGTGGCTAAAAGATATTGCCAATGGCAAACTAAAAGTCTCTTTTTTCTTTTAAACTCTTTGTTGTGTTCATCCTTTAAACATGCAGAATTTCCCCTCTCTCTCCTTTCATCACATTCCTTCCATGTCATCCCCAAAAGGTCTTCCCACAGCAAAGACGAGTCCATTTTCCTGCAAAGCACCTACAAGAAGGAGACCCCAGTCTAGTGCAGGAAAGACTCACAGATGCTGCCTACATAAATCTCCCAATAATAATGTCCAACTTTAATTTGTTTTGGTCAATAGTGGAGCAGCTGCAATCTGCACAAGCTGAAACTCTGCCAAAAGATTGTCAGGCAGGACAGCAAACAAAGCATCACAATAGCGTGAATTCAGTCTTCAGCGATTGACGCATTAAACGGGACGTCACCTTGGCAATGACTGTACAAGTGGTATAAAGAATCCTTGATAATGCTGTGAGCATAATCTTGCAGAGAAAGGTCAGGCTAAATAAATTACATCCAGTTCCGATGTCAGTATCGCAATCATCAAGGGTCAGCTAAATTGCAGACACCTTTTTAAGGTCAAGACTTTTCATTTTGCTTGCGCTCAGCTGGTGGAACTTTTTCTCCCAGTTTAGTAAAATGAGCTCCTAGTCCAGAGAAAATAGGATCAATACTGGGCTTAAGTGAAATATAAGCCAGGGCATCACGAGGAAAAACAATCTCACGCTTGCAAGTACATTTGTCCCAAAGGGAACATAGGATTTGTTAGGCTTCAGAGATCCAAACTCTATTCCCTGTAGGACCATGGAGTGACATCAGCAAAAGGGGAACAAAAATCCCAGTTTGTAATAAAATCATAGCTCATTAACACTGTAAGAAAATTACCCTCTTGCAACAGTACCCAGCTGCCAAAGAATAAATTTCTGAGTCATCTGAGAAAAGGCCTGCAATGGCCTGCAACAGCAAACACAGCAGATGCATCCAGATGCTGCAGAAAAAGATCAGAGAGCACCCATGAATTATTCAGGGCTAGTGCTTCGCTTTGATGCTCAGCAAAATGGTATCACCACAGTCACCTCTGGAATACAGCTTCTCTTCAGCATCGCTGCTAAGTAGAGGCAGCCCATGGGATCACTACGGTAGACTTGCGATGGCCCTCATCCTGGTTCTGAGCTCCCATCCATCTCCCAAAGTGTTTGTGGAAGGACCCATGACCCAAGACTGTACAGAGAATTTGCAGGATCTTTGCAGTGGGTAGTAGGAGTCTTGTCCATCTTATCGTACCTACATCCCTCCTGAAGGATCAGATCTAGTGAGAATTTAAATAGGCATAGCAATTTTTGCAGCTCTGTAGCTACCATAGTTCCCCGTCACCACTCATCACATCCATGGGATGATAAATAGGGGAGGATAAGGGATATGGAGAGAACACAGCAGTCCCCAGGTAGAAATAGAACTCAGGTCTTCTGGCATTTCTATCTTGCACCTTCGCTTCCTCTTCCTCAAGCCCTTCAGTGCTTGGATTTGTACAGTCTGTGACTTGCAGGATTTGCAGTCTCTGTATAAATGAGTCAGTAATTTGGATGAACCAAGAAGGGGAGGAAAAGGTAACCATCATGGGCAGGAATAGTTCCCCATGCTAATTGTAGCAATTAATTAACTAACCTCACTCTCCTAGCAGAAGTCAGCGTGGTGGAACAAGATCAGAAGCTGCCGGGGAAGCTGCTGTACACATTTTTCTGGTTGTTCTTGTTCCGAGGGAAGTAGGCTGCGTGACTTTATTATGCTGACCTGAAAACCTACCTGGGGTCTGGATCCAAAGCCAGGATGTATCCGACTGGATCATTAGCAACCCAGCTGTGAAAGGAAAGCGCTACCACCAGCAAAGATATCTACTCAAGCTGTGATCATGTGGTATTTTACCTCCTGCTTCATGGGTTACTCCATGTCAACCGAGAATGAGTTTGAAGTGAAAATTCACTTGGATTCGTGGTAGTTTGTACTATCATGCAAGTATATTTCTCCCATTTGGAGCCACTTAGAGCGTAGCCTAGATGGCAGAGGGAGATCTGCTCAGGCGTGACAGCTTTTTGGTTTTGGTCCTGTCGCCAGTCCCTACAAGCACAAGAACAGATCCAGGTTTCCACAATCTTTATGTTATGTTTGATTAGAAGAATGACCCAGCCATTAATTTGTGCATGCTGTCAAAGGTCTTGGTAGTAATTGATGGGAGAGTACTTGGAGCAGAAGATCTCTAGGCTGAAATGTGTCCATAGCATTTGTTTGCTATGCAGGTTTCACCAGTCCCCTTGACAGGAGAAGAAAACTCAGGGTTTTAGTTGCTTTCTAGTACAACTAGCAAGAAAATAGATGAACTGAAAGTGGCTGCACACGCCAAAGTATCATAAAAACTGTCCTGCCTGGCAGCAAACCTTCCACCCACACAACCAGCAAAATACCACAAAGATGTGACTTAGGCTCAGTTTTCAAAAGTGGCCTAAAGAAGAAAAGCAAAATGAGCTTGTGCCCTTTGATGCTTCTTTCTGTGAGGTGTTTGCAGTTTGATGGGAGCTTGTAAATTTTCTGTTGCATGAGGCCTGTTTCTTACATTAAACCTACATGCCCTGTCTAGACTAGAAAGCTCTAAGGATTAAGAAACAGGATGGAGTTTAGGGTAGTTGCTACATTTAGCTGAACTGCTATAATAGTTAGTCCCTGAGAGCGTTATGCATCTTGTTCATCAAAAGCAAGCTCATTTCAACCTCAGGGGGACAAGTTTAAGTGAAGCCACAGGTGGCATTGGCTACCCCAGTGCCCCAAGAGTTGGCACCCACCAGAGTCACTGGAGCTTCATTCTGTGTCCCTGAAGGTAATTGGAGAACAATGAAGTAAGGAGATCACATTTACCTAGAAAGAGAAAATTAAACTCACTCTAAGCTGTTTACTCAGACTGCTGTAAAGCTCTTTGTTTCTGCTAACACCTATTTACTTTGATAGCTAATTAACATTTTGGAAATAAAAAAGGGAGCCTCGCAGAATCTCATCTGCTCCACAGGTTTGGGTGAGTTGACAAGACTTGAGGAAGGCAGACTTTCTTCTGGCTTCACCCACAAAAGCCCAGACTGCACAGCACTGATTTTACAGCCAACTTGTCTACACACGCATGCAATTTGCAGTGGTTGCACTTCAATCAGTTCAAATACAATATGGGCCTTGTTGACATGAGGATATTTGCCAGAGACTCTGTTTGCAAGAGTGGAGGGAAGCTGTTCTTACAACACTCTCTTTAATCTAAACCATGGTCCTTTCTCCAACTGGTGGCCAGGAATGTAGCAAAAGGCAACAACCCACCAAAATTTGCCTACTCTTATCGGCTCAAGATTAGGGCTTAATTCAGGGTAGGAATCAGGCTCACTTTTTTTGCATTTCCAGACTGATGATAGTAGCTGAGTGTGTTGTGTATGTGTGTGTGTTAACAAACCCATGTACATACAAGGTATCGCCTGAAGAAAAACATCATCTTTGGTCTCTGCTGGATGATGGCCACTTCTTGGTGCTGGCCTCATACCAGAGCTGGTCTTGGTTTGTGGGGACCAGTTGCCCTAGTTTATTTGAACATTGCGATTTGGTGTATGTTCAGAGGGTTCCCAGAGACCTTTAGTATGGACTAATGAAGAAACACAAGCTCATGATTATTTTTTTTTTATATTTCTAACCATCTGTATTTTCCCTGCCCTAGTGGGCAGGCAGCCAGATCTCAGCCATGAACTTCATTTTCTCGTATGATTTGTTTGTTGGGAGAGAAAAAAAAATCCTGCTAAACATACTTCATGTGCCATTAACCCTTTCTGGTTAATGGCAATATTAACAAAACTCAGCCATGTATTTCCCATACAACTTAGAGATGAAGCTATGGCAGTGTATAATTTAATTTCTCTTGAAAAAATATGCATCCAAGTGAACACAGAAGTATGTCCTTAGGACAGTCATGTGCACGGATTACTCTTTTAGGAGATGCTGGAGATGTTTTTTAGCTCTGCCTGGGTTTACCATGTGACTTCTGGTACCTCTCTGCAGCTCTTTCTATTCCCATCTCTTTGGACCATCCCCTTCATAGGGCATGGCCAGTTTTCCAAGGCTTGTCTGCCAACACTCTCACCATGGGTTTGTTCTAGTAAATAATGTCCTGATCTCAGCTTGGCCTTTTGGGCAGCAGTAAGAATCAAAACAAAAACAGTAATAATATGTTAATGGATGCGTAAATGTCCTTAATCCAAGCCAAAGGCTCCCATCCCTCGGAGAGGACGAGCAGGGCGTGGGAAAAGTGATAAGATGCAGCTCTTGCTCTGATGGGATAAACTTGGCAGCGGTGGCCTCTCCCACCCAGCGCAAGCATGTTCTTCTGCAGCCAGAAGCATGTTGTTGTGATCTTTTCCAAGCCATGCTTGTATTTCATGATTATGTTGTACA